AGGCACGGAGTCCGAGGGTAGGGGCGGGGCGGCGACACCTAGGGATGCGACCGGGACCTGGAGTCTGGAGAGGGTTTTCAGGCACCTAGGATGATTCGCCCGGAAGAATGTTTGGAACACCTCCAAGGCCATGTGTTTCGATGCAAACTGGGCCAATTTGGTTCAAGCAAATGGGGGCAACTGGGCTTAAAAACATCGCTCCATCAAGTGGTAGTGGTTTCCACTTCTTCTCTAGTCGTTCCACAGGCAGAGTCACCTGTCCTCTCCGGTAGCGAAAAAGAAACTTTGGCCTTCCACGCTCACTTGCGAACTGTCCAATGGTCCGCCCCTCAAAGCCCTTCCACATAAGCGGGGTGCTAGAGGGAAAACAGGTATGAACACATGCCATATGAATTGTGACGACACATCCACTGTACAGAAACGTGTCACATCACCTAAGTATGTGCTATGAATTATGAATTAGCCACGAACGCTCAGTCGACGTGTGCAATGTCTGCGATGGAGTGTTTGTTACGCAAGCATTTCTTTATGCGCTGGTATCAGCCGTTACGTTTTTGGAATGGGATTTCATCACATTCTGGAACAAATGGCTCCGGATGGGAAATTTTAGGCAATTCCAAGCGCACATGATGCGGATACGACTCGTTTGGTAATGATGAATAATTTTTGATATGGTCAATGACAGCAACAGGGTCCGGGAGAATAGAGCGAGAAGAGATGCCACCCACAAGACTTTTATGGAATCCCAAGCGTACAAGTGAGGAGGCTCCTGTTTTCTTATACTTAGGGAACAACGACTGTTGCAGGGTATTTTCCAGGTAGCGGACCACTGCTCGGAGAGTGTTTGCTTGGTGCCAGAGACTACGGCACTCGGGTTTTTGTATGGAAGATTCTTTTGACAGGAAAGGATAAGGCTTGGGAAGTTTCCCGTCTTTGTGGTATATCCATACTGGCAACGCAAATCCCATATCTAACTGAAAGGCAATGACCAATTCATACCATGATATACCCCAGTCATTCGGCAACCGATTCTGCGCTAAGTTTGCGAAAAAAAAAATCCAAACTCGGAAGGCTGTGTGGGCACCCGCAGGGCATGCTTGTGCGATGAGCGTCTCAAGTGGGCCCTCAAATTGCCAGAAGTCTGTATGAAAGGTCCATTGCATCAGAACATCTTGATATTTTACCACTTCATCCAAAGTATTATGCGCATGGGTCTCAGCGGCATTCTTTTCTTTTTTCCAGCTTTAATTTCTTATGTAGACTATTGAGATCAGCAAGATATGCATAAACCAAGTGCAACGCTTGTGTCTGTTGTTGACTATGATTACGGATATCCTGACAAGCCTCCCGAAGGAGGGGCATTTCTTGGGCATTACAGTAATGATTTTGGCAGCTTCATCCGCAGCGAAATTGCCCAGAATAGTATTCAAATCTGCTAAATCCTTTGCGTCTTCCAGTTTGCGGCCTTCCAGTTGTCCCCGCTCTCCACCATTGGCATCACTGGGCCCCGGCGTTTCGAAGGACCGAGTCCCTAGGAAGAGGTATTGGAAACTTGAACTTGGTAGAGGAAACTTGTACAACACCCGCGGCTTTAAACAATCCTATATTGCCTGTACTTTGGCTTGGAACAAACACATGTGCCGGAGGCCTGGCAACTCAAGTTTTCACCGTTTCAGCAACTCGAAATGAAGTGGTCATACTGCATGATACTGTATGAGCGCTCCTGTCTACATCAAACATACAAACACATTAAGAATATTTTGTAGTTCGTGAATTCACCATTGTGATTGGCTCACTCTTAGGATCATGAGTGGCTTGACCACTTGAAGCTTGTCTGGTTTCTCATAGTTTCTCTGATCTAGTCTCATTTCATTGTCTAAAAGTTCTTTGCCTAAATTTCTCAGTCAAAATAACATCTACACCCTCGACATCCCCGGCTGAAACACCGGTCAATAAGAAGATGCAAAAAAAACGACATGTGCGCAGACCATCCAGGTTTTCTGCACCTTTCTTTGCTCATCCATGACACGCACCAACAAGGTCACGGCGGTCGGTCGCGTGCCGAGCAGCTAATCTCGGTGGCGCCCGCGGGGTCGGCGTCGGAGCAGCAGTGGAACATGGCGCGGCTGCGTGGCGGGATCGGCGCGTCCGAGTGCGTGAAGCGGCGAGTGTGTGGGCTGGCGTGAGCTGAAAGGGGTGCGAGAGTCGAGCCGAAAGTGGCAGTGGCGGTGTCGAAACGCAAAAGGGCGCACGTTTGCTTTCAAATGTTATTTTATTGGAACTGGTGATGAACAATGGCAAAAAACTGTTTTGGACTTGAGACGAACATTACTGCCAACATCACCTGAATCATCCAGGGGTCACAAAGGGGTGGTTTCTAGTCTCTAAAGTGAGTGGATCATGGGCACCCCTATCCACGTTCGGCACCCCGACAGGGAACTGGATGTACAGACTGGATGTGGCCAAGGCGCAAAAACTTGTCGCCACGATTGACTTGAGCTCCCTCCAGGAGTGATGCGTCCTGCACATCCGACGCAAACGCCGAAACGACCGTGGCGTTCCACGACGACCGGATCCCCCGAGCGGGTTCCATCCTGGCATGGGACCCAGTCCAGCCTGTTGGGTTTGAGTGGGTTATGCACCACTGAACTCCAAAGGCTCCAGAGGCTACTGAACTCCAAAGGCTACTGAACATGGGAATCCCCCAAAAGGTTACACATCACTACTGAACGTCCAAAGGCTCCAAAATTCGCCATGCCGTGAACGTTAAAACTGGCATCCCCATTCGCTTCACCGTGTAGCCACTGGCATCCCCATTCAGTGGCATCTAGCTGCATCATCCCCCACAAAAAAAGAAACACGGAAAAAACCGGTCTTCTCCAAGGCGACACCAGCAACATCGCACGGTGGGCTCGCGCGCGTCCTGCTGGAGCTTGCCTTCAAAATCCACCACATCCTCCTGGAACGACGGACCGTGAAGGCGTTCTGAGGTCAAGGGTCGCGCTTTCAGAGTTTCAAATGAAAATGAAAACACACAAAAAAACACACATCATGATACAAATTGAGGATAAATTGAGGTCATGTTAGTTTAACTTTTTTCATGTCAAGAACACAGATGTGGACGACCGATGTGGTCTCCAACGACCTCACCCCGCCCTTGCCGTCGATGGTGTGCTGGGTAGGTACGTGGACCTTGGCACTACCATCTTGTAGTCGCATCGGCTAGCATCTACACGGCTTACTACTACAGTACTATGGGAACACTTGGTCCAAACTCTTGCGCAAACTCGTGCGCATTCGTGAAACTATTCCAAACCACCATCCGCAGCAAATGGGCATGGAGTCGGGCTCCTCGCTGGCCACCAGGAATCGAGCAGCACCCACTGCCACATGGGGCGTGGACTTGCCTGGATGGGGGTGACCATGTGGTGACCATGTGGTGACTATGTGCCAAACACTCATGGAGCGGTGGGTGGTTTCAGGGTCAATGGGGCGGCATATGTTCCACATATGGAGCGTCGTTTATGTTTGGAAATAGTACATAGAGGGGTCGGTTTAACACCCAAACGTTCACGACTGGGAGTATCCCCATGTTCTCCCCTCTATTGATCAATCAACCACCATTTCAACACCCATGATGATCATGATGCATGTGACCACGACCCGGTGGAAGTCTCTGGTGTCTCTGCCAACCACGACCCACATGAAAGGCCCTCGTCGCGAATGGAGGCGAGGAGGGAGATCGAGGACGGGGGCTCCAATAAGAACAGTTGTGGAGAATCAAAACAGTCCGGTGCCAATGTCCGCAACAATATCCCTGCATTATCCAACGCCACTCTCCTGACTGCACAGTTGCTGCAACTGGGGCTCCCCAGCGGCTGGGACACGCGGGCAAAGCAAAGCGGTAGGAGTGAGCTAGATACCTGCGGTGGCCATCACCGACAGTCGCGCGCAATTCGATGTTCTTCAACGGCAGCAACTTCCGAGAGAATCTTTGGACAAGTTTGCTTCACTTACTCTGAACTCTGAGGTGGGAATCGGTCGAACCTGGTTCACGCGGTGAACCAACATGCGTCTTGTGATGCGCGGGCATGGAACCAACGTCCTTGTGCGGTGTTTCGAGACATGTCTTTGGTGGCAAACTTTAAAACAATAGCAAAGAGGGTGCTTTGATGTGCTTTGCCATGCTTTGCCCACCTTAGGCGTTCACAAGACTGTATATCCAAGTGACGGATTTGGCAAACCTCATTTCTGAACCTGTTGGGCACACATGGGCACACCTTCTCCGTGTGGTAATGATGCGGAACCTCTCCTTTCACAAGGCGTTGGTGCCGTATGCCCTGCAACCACCCTTCGAACCCACTGGAACCAGTCTGATGGACCGACTCGGGTCCCATGTACCTGGACTTCCAGGTGGGGAAATCCGTGGGCAAAGGCAGCTCGATCATGGTGTACTGGGTGCAAAGCCTTGGGTCTGGCGACATGGCGAACACCATGGTGGACTTGACATGCAAGATCTTGCAAGAATGGGACCTTGATGGTTGCTTAAGCAACTGTGCTCATCACAAGGCTGTTGCTAGGCAAGCTACATGTTTGACATCGACATGAGTTGGGACACCCGCGGGCCATGTGTCAAGCTGATCCGACCTTTTTTCCCAGCCAGAGACAGCTCGATTGGCTGGTGAGCTGGTGACAGGCTGTGGCCGATCGCTGCGAAGCGATAGAGTTCAGATTGAGGTCTTCGCTTGGCAACTGATACCTTGATGTGCCTTATGGATCGTTGTGGTTTCTCCTCTGGATCAACTAAAACATGTTTTTCCTTTATTTTGATTCCTTGTGGAGTGGACATGAGTCGGCCCATACTTACATAGCCGTCACAATGAGCCCGCATGCAAACATCCAATGTTCACCCTAAGTCTAGTTTCAATCTCTATATAAAGTTGGACTTTCAGCCTATCCTCAACCTTCATCTTGGCCATCACCTCATCCCTTCGACCTCGCTACACTGGAAGCCGCATGGTGTGGAGCACAAAGAGTAGGGCCGTGAGCACGGTGACGCCACCCGCTTGATGAGCCACGCCCAATTCAGTCGGCACGTAGAGCAGCAACGTGGCAATGCCCAGGAACCTCTGCAGCGAAAGTGCGTTCTGCGGGCGAACATTCGCTCGTGCCGAGCAGCGATGTCCCAAGCTGAACTGATCCACTTGGGGCGGAACATCTCATGGAAAGCCACATGGAAACTGGGACCCTTGGGATGGTTTAGGTCCAGTCATGGAAACTTGGATCTGGCTTCCCCTTCACGCGGTCCTCCCTGATTGGGCTAGGCTAAGGATTGCTCTTGTTCATAAAGCATCATTAGACGCTTCCGGCTCAACTTCGTTCACCCCAGTCCACAGCGGGGGCCGCCCTGCAAACGCCAAGAAACACAAACGTGACCTAACCATCAGAAGACATGGCTTGGATCGCTTGGAATATGGTAAGGTGCAGGCTCGCAGTGGCAAACACGGGGCTCAAACAACTATATATAGATATATACATAAGTACAAGAAGGGTTTGGTCAAGAGCTGCACAAACAGGATGAGGGGCAGCGGCAGCAGCAGCAGCAGCAGCAGCAGCAGCAGTGACAAACCAACAAAGAAACAACAAAATCCACTAAGACTGTTGCATGCTCGGAGACATTTGTGCCCCCAGCACCATGGGAAGCGCTGCAGTGGCACTGGCAGCAGCTGCAGAGAGTGGCAACTGTGTTGAATAAGCCCAGAGTCCTAAGGATGCCGCCACCGACGAGTAGGCTAACATCCTGTGGTTGAATTGAACAACAGCCGTCTCTTCAAAGATGGCCCTCCATTTGGTGAAGGGCTCAGCTATGAAGGCCAACCATTCTGGTGGGATCCAATCATCCAGCATCTTAGGCCAGGTATTGAAGGCTCGTCCTGCGTCATTCCCCGCCACAAAGGGTCCACTGAGAAGGGTGGCCGTGACCATGGCAGTGGTCGGCCAGGCCCAAAGGCGCAAGCGCGAAGCAGCCTTCACGGCCTCTGCACAGCTATGGATCTGAGAAGGGCTGGGGCGCAACAAGCTCAAGGTGTTCCACACACAACCAGCATAAATGGTGAGCGCAGCTGTCCAATGCGAGGCTAAGCGATATGGGGAGACCCGAGGCCTCTGGTTGGGGCCCAAAGTGGGCGTGTGCTGCTCCGGAGGATCAAAGCCACTTCGGACCATCCACCAACCTACAAAGGCTTGTGACAAACCCAAAGCGAAAAGTCCCGTCAGGTTGGCCGCAAAGCGCAGGCGCAACACACCGCGCCCTGCAAAGTAGATCAAGGGCCCCGCAAACAAAAAGCCAGCCGTACGGCCCCACATACGGTGGAACCATTCTACAAAGTAGATCCGTTTGAACTCTTCGAGCTCCATCTTGCCTGCATGTAACCGCTGATATTCTGGATACTTCTTGTACTCCTCGAACTCCTTGAGCCACGCCTCCTCTGTCAAGGGCAGCCGACGCCCTTCTAGGCGCCAATCCGTCATGGATAAGCCACTGCCAGAGAGCCGAGTGTAGCCTCCAATGAAGATCATGGAGAACAGCATGCCACAAGTACCTCCAAGCCATAGGCCCACAGTCTTCTCCCATCCTGGTGTGACCAACTCTCCAGTGCCTTGATGACTTTCACTTATCGTCGACTTCAGATATGCCAGTCGAAAACGAACAAGGGGGGGTGCGTGCTGTGGGTACCACGCGTGCGCGTGCGGCAACAGCAGCATGGCGAGCTAGTCGTAGCATGGCCTTCAAGTTGACTTCTGCAGCTGGATCAATCAGGAATTTTCTTTTTTTCTTGTGTCAAACCTAAAGTCATGTATCCATCTAAAGTGTAAGGTCCCCAGTATGATCAACTTCATGTTGTGACCAGCTTCCTCAAAAAAAACCAACTGGCCCTCTGCACCTAAGCTTGAGCCCCAAAATGAACAGTCCAAGTCCATGCATGTGGCTTTTCATTGACAGTGGCCACGCAATTCCAATGCGAATTGCCAGCTGTGCCCATGCGTCCTCCTCTGTATGCCATTACGGCATGGCAGGTGCCATTCAACCAAGTGTCTCTCACAAGCAACTCGTGGCCGTTTAGCCATGTTTAGCCGTGTCGTCAGTTTTCAGGCCCAAGCGTGATTTCACTCCACTTCTGTGGCATCGTGAAACCGTGGTACAGCAAGTAGTCAGCCTCACCGTGAAGCAAACCCTGAAGTGCCACCGGATGGCACACCCTCTGCCTCTCATCAGATTGTTTTTTGATGCTGAGCAACTCGTTTTGTACTTGCAGAATGATCGTGGAAGTGGAACATCACTCCACTGTGCATCAAAGCTGGTCTGCGGGAAGGCGCTAGCCGGGCTCCAATGGGCCGCGAAGAATGGCACAGAAAACTCAGCATCCCAACGTTGGAGCGCACACCGTAGCCCACAGTAATGGCCTCGCAGTCCGAACCAGCATGATGCACCTCCCAAAGAAAGACTCCCCAAAGTCGTGCACCTTCTAACTAGGGCTACGAAGATTCACCACTGAGATGAACACCTTAAAACCAAGCAGTTCCAAACAATCGCGGTGGAACGATAGGGAAAACCACCCATACCAGGGCCCCCTAAGGGGTGTCCAATAATAGCTCCTTAGAGGTTCATGGGTGTCTATATATATATATATATGGAACTCCAGCTATGAAACATCTTGTGGTCTGGAGGCCCAGGTGGCCATGAAAGGTGTTGGGATCCGCCTTTGTCGCACGGTTCCGAGTCTCACACACATCACACAGGGTCTCTGGACCACAACCGCGCTGTTTGCTGATGTTGTTTCAACTTTGTGGATGACATGAAGAGGCACAAAGTTCAAAAGGAGGCCAAGAGCTAAAAATGGGAATGGCCAGATCTCAAACACAGCTGTCCCGTCTCAGACTCTCAGTGCGCAGAGTGTGACCCCGTGTCACCGGACACCGTGGTGAACCACGGTCCTCGGGGAAACCTCGTTGATCAACGGCGCAGAAAGACTCGTGTCGGGTTCTGAAATAGATTTCTACCGCTGCAAGTTCGAACCTTTTGGGAACCCCCAACAAAATCTGCCAGCATCGTCCTAAAGATGTTTTGCAAGAACCCATTGCACCAAACCGGTGGGCCCAGGCACCCTTGATCCCGCCGCTTTCTGGGTCCTCTCGACTGACTCTGCAGCCAAATCTTGCTTCGCTTTCAGGGTCACGGCGGCGGCATCGGAATCCTCGGGATGGACCGCGACGACGCGAAGAGTCGTGACACCCAGAATTCGACCCATTGGGAGGGTGATCCAGGGTTGATAGTGATGATAGTGAGTCTTTTCCTGTTGGTAGTGACACCCCATGATTCTAAAAAGAAGTTTAACATTTGCAAGAACAGCTTTGAAACACAGGTTCCCTACTTGTTCATTTTGCTTGGCCATGTCCGGAACACAAGCATTCTTCATCATTCCTCCAAGCAACGAAACAAGTACTCCAAAACACCAGGTACGAAGACACATCATAACCCAGACGTTCCATGGGACTGCCATAGGACTGCCGGTCAGGCCAGGGGTGGTGCCAGGGAGGTCGACCTCTGGGCGGCAGTCCATCCCATTGGTCGCGTCGTAAGGGCGGCAGTCCACCCCACCGACACAGTCCAGTCCGGAAAGGTGGTCTCAGTGTTCGGAAGACTTGATCGTCCAGAAGGATCCAGTCAGTCCAGCTATGTCTGCTATGAGTGATCGGAATGAATCGGATTGACCAGGAGAGGAACGAAACGACCAGGAGATCCAGGATTCGGATGAAGTGAAAACATATAAACCATCGCATGATCATCCGCGCGAGTTCGGTGTTGAAGGATGGCTTGTGATGGCTGATGATGCCATTCACCCTTGGAACCTCAATGATCCCAGAAGGACCTAAAAAGCTCTAAGACTCTAAGAAAGCACACGTGACTTGTTTAAATTGTTTTTGTGGGATTGTCGAACGACACTAGTCGATACTAGTCGGGGTCGGGTATTTCTCCAGGCTCCCGAGCATAAGAGATGTTGGTCAAGGACTCGCTCTCCTGATCGTCGCAAAAGGGCAAGTGAAGCATCACTGTGACGTAGCTCATGCCACGGCCACGGCAAATTCGGGCTGCTACGTGTCTGGATGATGCACTTAGGGCACTTTAAGAGCTTCCTTGGCAAACCATTTAACGGAGCATTTATGTTGACCATTCTACTTACTATAAGATCAGCCACATAGCTTTGAAAGTGGAACATGGAATACATGGAACCCGGGAAGGTTCTTTTCCTGCACATTCCATCCTACTCTTCCCTTCCAGGAGCACGGATGGAACCCGGATGCCCTTCCAGGAGCCGGAATCGATGTAACCATGCAACTCCATGTCTCAACTGCCTGGTACTTCAGGAGGTCATCCGTGGAGAACAGCGCTCTCCTGGAGAACATCCGGAGAGAACGACGGATGTTTGCCCTTTTTGGCCCAAGAAGATGAAGCACTGACGGATGACTCCGGGTCAACTTGCACACCTTCAATGCCCTTCTTACTAGCTTCTTGTTACAAGTAGCGATGGCCGCCAACCCACTTGCGATGGCCTCCACCTAATAAACCTCTTAAAACCCTTCAAACACGGAACACCAAGTTTTAATAAGTGTTCTATTGTTCATGCCCTTTTCTAGTCAGTCTTGCAACATCTTGCAACTACGTAGTGGCGGCAGCAGTGGTGACATCATCTGCAAATCTTCCCAAACCACTAAGTAAGAAAAAACACCAGTAAAAGGAAGCAAATGGAAGCAGAGGCGCTCCAATTGTCCAAACAAAACACGCGGCTGGGCTGCCGGGCTCGGGGATGGGGAGGTGATGGTCGACGAGGTCGATCAAGGGCATGATGGCCAATTGAGGTGATGTCTGACCTCCCGCGGGAGACCGACGCGGGGGGGGCTCACGCGTTGCGACCGACGCGTTGCGAGCGGGAGTTGGGTTGGGAGTGCGAAGCTAAGCTGCGTACTGTACTCCTCTTTCCAACTAAAAGGCATCAGGTATACCCAAGCGTTTGTTACTGCTAAAGATTTTCTTCACAGGCCCGGCCGAATCCGCTGGCGTCTTAGACCTCTGCGCACAGCAACGGCCTACTCACTGCCCGGGCTTCGTTCGGGGAGGGCTGGAGCCACTGGTTGCTGTGAGCGCCGAATAGAGCCGATCCACAAGAATGAAGGTAATTCAGAACAGCCTGGGGAGTCAGGCCCTACGCTTCCAACAAGCATCGATTTCATGGGCTTTTGCCGAACTACCATGGACCATGGTTGTACTGACTTTACACGACAACAACAGGTTAACCTTTCGTTTAAACATCTTTCAAAGGTCTTGGAAGGCTGGCAGGGGTCAAGTCACTCAGTCTTTTTTTCGCACCTTTGTGAGTTCATGGCCAAAAAGTCGTGAAAAACCTTGAATGAGCAGTAGATGCCTTCCTTTCATTGGGAACACTCTGCCGTTCTCAACCTCACCAGTTCATGAGACACTCTGTGTCTTCACCTGCCGCGACCTGCGCACCCAGCACCCCTCCACCTACCCACACCCCCGCCACACAAACGCTGGGCTCTCCCGGCTGCGGTTCTCTCGGTCCGGCAGGTGCACCGTCTCACCGCGGGACATCACGACCATGGCCCACTTCTTGAACCTGGGGTGGTGGGTCCCGGGGTGGTGGACCTGGCGTTGTCAACGGGGCGAATATTGGGAGAATGAATGGGATCAGAATGCACCTAGATCCTAATGGTTTTGTAGTGGTTTTCCATGGTTTTCCCTCACAACATCTCACAACCATGTGAAAGATGGACATCATGATAGGGGGTATTTTTAAGCCAAAAAGAACTTCTTCCAGGACGCACCAGGGATGATTTGATGATTCCAAGTGTCTCACAGACTCTTGCCAATCTGGGATTTGCCTAAGATCGCTTCAGCCCCACTGGAACAAACATCAACTTACCAAGGATTGAAACATATTGAAACATTGGGCCACTCAGATTGCTCAAATGCACACCTACCCCAAATCAAAACCCAAGAATGGCAGCCTCTGCACATCTTTCAAGGATTTTCCAGGGAGGAGTTTCCAGTTGAGTGCCCTCGTCTGCGAAAACCCTAAGCAGCACCATGTAGCACCTATGTCTGCTCGCAACGTTCGAATTCCGTCAGAGTGGTCACACTCCCGGCACATTCGCCCGTCCATGTACCCTGCGCACACGGTTTTTCCTTTGTGAATCAGCTGTTCACCATGTGCGATATCTTTCAGAATCCACGGCAGCTCCTTACTGGTTGAAGACAGGAACTCACGCCTGTCAACAGTCAGAAGACTCACCGCTCCAAGAGTTCTGTGCTTGGCAAATTGAACCCTTGGAAAGCGAGAGTTCTAGTTGGCCGGGCTTTGTGAGGGGTTCAAATTAAAAGAAAAGCCTTTCTTGCTCTTTCTGCACCAGGTTCTTGCTCTACAACTTTGTCCGGGATAGACCCATTCAGCTGCCGCTTCACTTCTGCCAAAGTTTGAGCAAAGGTCCTCCTTAGACGAAGCACGGAGGACAACCACATACGACCCTCTGGCTCAGTCGGCCACATAGGACCACCCTCCGGAACCCTCTGACCAGCAGCCGATGTTCGGTGTCAAAGCCAAGACGCATCTCATTGGATTCCACTCCGACTTGTGGCTTTGCAACGCCTGAGCCTTGGCAGCAATTCTGGTGCGTGGGAGTGCCGCGATGCCGATGCAGCTCACCTGCCTTTCTCAACGCAAAGCCACCAGTGACTTAGAGTCTTAGAGACTCTATAGCTATAAGCAAATCCCTCACCAGACCAAGGGACCTTCCACTTTGGGCTCACCTTTGGGCGACTGGATCAATGAGATGTTGTAGAGCTGCTGGCAGGCAGAGACCAGGAACTTCCCATGCACCTCCACAAGAAAAGAATTGAACAGGTTGTTCCACATGTGTCCAAATGCTTCTGATCTATTGACTGGGTATGTCTTGAAAGATCTTGACCAATTGACTGGGATCCGCCGAGCCCGCTTGAAGTGGTTTTCTTGCTGATGACAAGGGTCGGAAGGACTTCAAAGACCTTGTGGCGGGCTTTCGCATATGGCATATGTGCATGTCTACTTGCTCGGTTTCCACTGCTCCGCTACTACAAACAATTTCACAACGATTGGTGAACAATTGATTTGGGATAATAAATTTGTTGTGATGCTTGTCGCTTTGTTTCAATAAACCAATCTGAATGAAGGACCTCGGAAGGAAACTTTGCAGATCTTTGCAGGCACCTTCCAAAATGCAGTCCTGTTACTTTCGAGGTATGATGACCCAGCCTCTTTCTTCAGAAGGGTGTGGGGCAACGCTTGCAATCTTTCGCAGCGCGCCCTCCTCGCATGAATGAGCGGGGCTGAAAGCACTTGATGCCGATGTCAACCACACATGTACCATGCCCGAAAGGCTTGCAAAAAGCATTGGCAATGATAATTTGAGCCCCTCCGGTTCATCCAATATGGCACGCAACTATACCTACACCATCCTACACCGTATACACCACAAAACGATAGTGACCCCACCTAGCAGCACACCATGCGGAGATGCCCCCAACATTATGGGCAAAGATTGAACCCGGCCTCCAAACATCTCTACAAACACATGTCTTTGACAAAAGAATGAAGTGTGCTCCAACATGGTTGCTCTTGTTTTGAGACCAACTGATGGTCATCAGACTGATGGTCCTCAAAGGCTCGTGCTGCTGCACATCGTGTTGGATCCACGCATCGTCGTCGAAGGGCGCGTGTTCTGGCTGAGGAAACGCCTGGAGATGCGTCGACGGCGCTCTCACATGCAACTTCCCCGGGGGCCGAGGGGCTCCCAACAACATGTCCTGGAGCAGGTCAGGATCCGACCCCAGGGTGGGGTCCCACTTTAGGAGGGCATTGTTTCCACCAAACATCGGGTCTACTTTGCCTACTTTGTCTAGTCTATAGGTGGTAACTGTACATGCATGATGGTCATCCAAGTGGCATGGAAAGGCCTGGCAACGGCCCTTTCTGGATCCACCAAACCTTTCCAATCCCTAGGCCATCGACCTCTACCCATGTTCCAGCGAGCCTTGGTGCTTTGGGCTGGAGGTTCATGCGCCCGCGCTCGCAACATGGCGCGTAGTCGACGTGCCTCCTGAAACAGAACCACCAAAATCACAGCAGACCGCAAATGGGAGGCCTGCTGTAAAAAAACCGATCAGAGGGGCTTGCAAAAATGACTCTCACTTTTTTTT